TTTTAGTTCTAATAGAAGCCGTCTTATTGGGTTGCATCTGTAATATGTCGCGATATTGAAGCTGTTCATTGTTTTATTTTTGGTCCAATGTTTTATTTTTGGTTCAAAGTTTTATTTTTGGCTCCTGTCAAGTCACTGTAATTTCGCATCCGATGTATTGCGTGGATTGTCTGTATGATATTGACTTTGCTCCCCACTCTCCTGACGATACGTCCGTGCGGTTGTGCGAGTGAGGGGGCCCGCAGAGCAAGACTTACAGCGAGGGAATCGGCTCAAAAAACGCCAAATGCGAGTGCGTAATAAGGAACATGCTGCCCCCCGCCTCTCGTCGGATGAAGGCCGTTGGACGCGACGCACGCCCGGGCTGGGAGGTTTGCCTCTCGCTGCGGAACCTTTTTTTGTCCCGCGGGGTAGCCTAGGAAGCCACCGGGCCAGCGGCGAGGGCGGGTTGTTTGCGTCACATGTGCGAGTGTTTTGTTTGCGTTTGCTGCAGGTGAAGTCGGGCTGCGGCGGTTGTAGATCACAGGATGCATTTGCGTTTACCCGAGGAAGGATTATTTTACTCTATTCCTAATTAAATGATGAACTGCTCGTATCCCACAGTGGTTGACGTGGAACCGTTTCATTTATGGGATTATCCTAACGCAGATAGCGATGACGTTCTTTCCGTGCTCTAAAAAAAGTGTAGCCCCAGCAGGTGCGATTCGGCGGAGGCGATAAAAGGAACTAGATCTGTCTGGAAGGAGGGCGCGGGTGGGGTGGCCGGGCGATTTTGAGTGGATTGGAGGGTGTTCTGTAAGGATGGACTCTGAGTCTCTCTCTCTCTCTCTCTCTCTCTCTCTCTCTCTCTCTCTCTCTCTCTCTCTCTCTCTCTCTCTCTCTCTCTCTCTCTCTTCTCTCTCTCTCTCTCTCTCTCCCTCTTTCTCCCCTCTCTCCACCTCTCCCTCTCTCCTCCTCTCTCCTCTCTCCTCTCTCCCCCCCATGGCACGGGGGTTCGTTCATACGTGTGTGCGTGAGAAAAGTGTGATAATAAGAGGTTACGTGAGTTTTGTGCCGGGAGGCACGTGCCCCGCCTTCTCCTTGGGGCAAACTTCCCCCCTTCCCCACCGGCCCTATCAGGCTCTTCTCCTTCTCCTCCTCCTCCTCATTCTCTCCCCCTTTTCGCCTCATTCTCACCTTATTACGGTGCTTCGTCCTTCTCCATGTTCACAAGTTAATCAGCCTCGCCGATGTTTATTCCGTTTAAGCGTCATCTGCTTTTTTCCTCTTCCTCTTCTCCTTTCCCCCTTCTCCTTTTCCACCTTCTCTTTTCCTCTTTCCCTTACCTTCTTTTCTCTTCCCCTTCCCTCCCTTTCTCTTCACTTTTCCTCCCTTTCTCTTCTCTTTTCATCCCTTTCTTTTCTCTTTTCCTCCCTTTCTCTTCTCTTTTCCTCCCTTTCTCTTCTCCTGCCCTCCCTTTCTCTTCTCCTGCCCTCCCTTTTCTCTTCCCCTCCTTTCTCTTCTCCTTCCCTCCTTTCTCTTCTCTTCCCCCTCCTTCTCTTCCCTTCCCTCCTTTTCTCTTCTCCTTCCCCTTCCTTTCTCTTCTCCTTTCCTCTTCCTTTTTCCTTTTCCCCTTCCTTTCTCTTTCCTTTCCTCTTCCTTTTCTCCTTTCCCCTTCCCGCTTTCTTCTCGCCTTTCCTCTTCCCGCTTTCTTCTCATCTCCCCGCCCCGTCCGATTTTTAATCCCACGCAGCCAAGGACCGAATCTCTCGCTCCGTCGTGGCGAGAGGCGGAGGGGGGGGGGGGTGAGTGAGTATCGGGGGGGCCTGAAACATGTTTTGCTAGAATCTGATCCTTGGGGACCTGACTGGACCTTCCGTGTGCTTTCTTTTGGAGACGGGGGAGGACGGAGTAGAGGGCTGGGAAGAGGGTTGTGGGGAGGGCGGGGGTGGGGGGCTTTCAGTGTGGCTGTCTGAAAGATTTTTCTGATTTGCACTATATTATTTTTGTTTGGTTTTCTTGGTTTATCTTTCCTTCTTGTGTTTTTTTAAGAGTCGCTTCTTGGACCCCGTTGCCTTCCCAGCTCTCTCGCACGGCCTTCCTTCCTGTTTTATTTCGATAGCATTGTTCGTCTTGTTTAGAGCTCGACGAATGCGTGTGCGAGTGTAAAAGTTGTGGCATTATTTCGGTCGTGTCATCATTGTTCCCTTTAATATGCTTATCGGTCTCGCACACTATCTTTCCCCTCCTCTTCTTGTTCCCCTCCCTCTCCCCCATTCACCACCCCTCTCCCCCTCCCCCTCTCCCCCCTTAACCACCCCTCTCCCCTGCCCACCTTTCTGCTACGTATCAGCTGTTAAGCAACGGCTCCCACGTGACCTCACATTTAACCTCGGTGTGTAAGCCCTGTATTTCGGGGCTTACACACAGCTTTTAGTTTTGTTTGTTTATTTGTTGCATTTCTTAATGACAGGGTTTAGGTTCTCGTAATCAGTAGATTTGTTAAAAGCAATAGTGTATTTTTGGTAATTCCAATGGGCAGTTCAGTGTTACCCCCCCTAAAAATGTATTTGTAGACCGTGTATTTCGTAAACGCCCAAAAGCTTGTTTTCCATGAGAGTCGAATTTGAGTTGGGATGGGATTCCCCATTTTCCTCTCCCCCTTCCTCTTCCTTCTGTCTCCTTTTGTACTTACTGCTTCTCTATTCTCCCTTCCTCCATTCCTTCCTCCTGCTGCATCCACCTTTCCCACTCTCCATTCCCTTCCCCCCTCCTCCCTCGCTATTCTTGCCGGGAGGTAGCACCTGTATGTTCTCACGCGGCCGCCGCCGCCGCCGTGATACACCAACACTTCCCACCTGCCTTCACGTGCTCCTGTCCCGTGATGCCCGATTGGCCCTCTCGCCCGCCGGCCATCGGGCGCCAGGGTCACTGCGGAAGGGGCGCTGGCGGATGAACTTGGAGGGAAGGAGAAGAGGAAGGATGGGAAAAGGGAAGGGAAGGGAAAGGAAAGGAAAGGAAAGGAAAGGAAAGGAAAGAGGGAAGGGAAGGGTAGGAAGAGAGACGGGGGGAGGGGGAGGGCGTTGGAGAGAGAAGTGTGTGTAGGGGGGGGGGAAGAGTGGGAAAAAGGTGGCAGAAAAAGGAAGGCATAGAGACGAGAAATTTGACAAGCGAAATCAAGGAAATTGACCAAAAAATAAAGACTATGGCAGATAAAAATCTGAGAACAATAAAACGCTTTGCTTTGGTGTAATGGAGGGCAAGAAAAAAGAGCGAAAGAGGGAAGAGGTCTGGCGGGAGCGAGCGAGGTAGTCTGTTGTGGAATGTTGAGAGAGGCTGTGCATCCCGGCGTCGAAGGGCGTGGAGGCATCAAATGCATGCGGATCAGAGGCTGCAAGGGTAAATACGAGAGAGAGAGAGAGAGAGAGAGAGAGAGAGAGAGAGAGAGAGAGAGAGAGAGAGAGAGAGAGAGAGAGAGAGAGAGAGAGAGAGAGAGAGAGAGAGAGAGAGATGAATGGAGGAGAGGGAGAGAAGGGGAGCGATTGCGTGACACCTCCCCACCCTCCCCCTTCTCCCTACCCTCCCCTCTTCTCCTCTCACGCTTCTCTCTATCTCCCTAACTCTTCCCTCTCATTCTCACTTTCCCTCTCTCCCTCTCCAAACTAGTTGGCAGAACTACCGCCATAGGCTTAGTCGAAATGGCCTTCACACACTTCGGAACCTCCTCTTACCTCACTTGCCCCCCTCCCCCCCCCCGCCGCCCGCCTGCCTGTCTTTAACGTTGTGTTCCTTTTTTACACCACGTTACCCCCTTTTTTATTATGTTAATAGCAGGATTTTAGAGATACTAGTTCATTAACTGCTTCTCTCTCTCTCTCTCTCTCTCTCTCTCTCTTCTCTCTCTCTCTCTCTCTCTCTCTCTCTCTCTCTCTCTCTCTCTCTCTCTCTCTCTCTCTCTCTCTCTCTCTATCTCTTCTCTATCTCTATCTCTATCTATCTCTTTCACTCTCTCACTCACTCTCACTCTCTCACTCTCTCTCACTCACTCTCTCACTCTCTCACTTCACTCACTCACTCACTCACTCACTTACTCACACCTACGCTTTACTCTGTGTGGATACTAGCACCTGTACCTGTATTTCGTTTTTCCCCGTTTTTTCTTTTTCTATCTCTATCTCTTTCTCTTTCTCTTTCTCTCTCTTCCTAATGATAGTCAGCAATAACGAAACCGCAAAAGGCGTTCTTGCATTATTAGTTGCCAGCGTCTGGATCACCATCGAGACTCTTTCGCCTTCTCCACCCCCTCCTGCCCCTCCTCCTCCCCTCCTCCTCCCTCCCCCTCCTCCTCCTGTCCTTCCTCCCTCCCCTCCTGTCCTTCCTCCCTCCCCTCCTGTCCTTCCTCCTCCCCTCCTGTCCTTCCTCCCTCCCTCCCCTCCTGTCCTTCCTCCCTCCCTCCCCTTCAGCCCTTCCTTCTTTCCCTCCCCCCCCCCCCCTCCTTTACCCTTCCCCCTCTCATCCTCTGCCTCCACCCAGCGTGACTCAGGAATCCCATGATCATCTCGGACAGGGGGAAGTCCCTCCTCTCGCATGTGGCGGAATGCCGTCTTCGAGAAGGGGAGAGCGAGAGGAAGACGAAACCGAAGGGAAGGGAGGGTAAGGGGGCTTGAAAACCGAGGAAGAAAGAATGCAGTGAAATAATGTAAGGGGAGATGGATTATGAATAGATTTGGAAAAGATTCTAGGAAAGAGAGGAACAAGTGAGACGGGATAAGAGATGAAGAGGAGGAGTAGGCTGGTGTTGGTCATTCCATGTTGGCCGACGTTTTACTCTTGTGCCCGCCAGTACACAGTTCGAAGGCTCTCCTCTAAAGCACAACATATCGCAGGTTCAAATTTGCAGGACGTACGCGTAAGTGTGAGCGCGCACGCGCGTGCGTGGGTGTGCATGTGTGTGGTTTGTTGTGGTAGTGGCGGTGGCACGAGTGTCGGGTGTTGGAGAACGGGGCCGGGGGCGGCGCACC